CGGCCGTAGCCGACTGACATTCGGCTATCCCCTGGCCAAAATCGGCTGCTTTGTTCGCAAAATCGGCCACTTTGTTTGCAAAATCAGCCGTTTTTTTTTGCGGCCGTTTTCCGGCCGAAATTTTCAGAAATCGGCTCTTTCGGCCGCGGCCGATGGAGGACAGGCCTAAACTCGTCACCAAGGTGTCTGTGAAAGCTAACAGTGGGTTCATTCGAAAGCCCTGGTTCATAGCTTTTAGCTTTCGAATGGTGAATATTTTGTTGGGTAAATAACCAGGCCCTAGAGAGAAATTTATCAAGTGGCCTGTGGGCGGGTCCAGGAAAACTACCACTTTAGCGAGCAAGGCTGCCGCATGATTCCCGTGGGGACGAACAGTTTAACAAGCCAGGAGGGAAAGGAAGGAAGGAAGGAAATCTCTTTCTTGCCCTGCTGGTTCGTGTCTCCCACAGGCCAACGATTTTCGGCCAATCAGATTCAGCGGCACACCGATGCTGACCACAACTAACTCCAAGTTGCTTGCCAGAGGAGTGCGGCGATCGAGACGACAGAAAGGGTAGGTACAGGTACCAAATCGATCGGTGCGAGCTTGCAATAGCTACATTCAGCTGCCGTAGGAGGCAAGATAATTGCTTCCTTGCGGTCCCATACCGTCCGCGTCCGTCCGCGGAATTTCCGCGCCGAAAGGGAAGGGACGCCCCGTATAAATATATGTGGAACCACGAGAAACTACGGTATTTCCTTCAGAAATCTTTAGAGTAAACCAGGGTATTAACGAACACCCCCCCTTTCTTTAACGAACACTTTTTTCAAATGCACGTCCCTCGGCGCACAATGCGCGGAGCCCCCCAATTTTTTTTTTGAAATCTTCAGCTTTCCGTTGACTTTCGTTTGAGCACCTCCGCGTGTCGATCGGGTCAAGCACTCCCGAGATACAGCACAGCCCTCACCCACACCCCTTATGTGGGGCATCTTTGCCCTTTTCGGGGTCCTGCTGCTAAGCATGGGACGTAAGAGAGTAGACCCAGGGCAGGCCCAGAAGGCTGTAGATGCGGTACGCAGCGGTGAGATGTCGCTCCGCGTTGCTGCGAGGACCTACGGGTTACCGCTAGCCTCGCTGCACGACCGTGTGAAGAACAAGGTGGCCATAGATGCGAGGGTTGGTCCCGGGACTGTCCTGAGCAAGGAGGAGGAAGATTTCGTAGAAGACGTCTTGATCTACGCCTCCCGACACTTCTTGCTGTTGGGTCGGAGGGAGCTGAGAGACGCTGTGCGCAACATCTGCACCGACGGGCGCAAGGTGCCCTGGGACCCAGACAAGGGCCCTGGGGACAGCTGGCTTGAGGGGTTTATGGCGAGACACCCGGGTTTGTCGGAGCGAGCCACCCACATCTACGAAGCAAACCGGATTAACGAAGACGGCGAGCCTCGCCTTCAAGCTTTCTACAAAGCATGGGCGGAGTACCTGGAGGAGACCAAGCTCCCGCCGGAACGCATCCTCAACACGGATGAGACAAGTGAGTTAGGGCAAGGGTTGAGGTGTCAGTAGGTGTCATTGGGTGTCAGCGGTGTCAGTATCGACTGCTGTGGGTTCGTAGGCGAAGTACCAGCAGCACTGCGATGTGTCACAACAACGCGGAGTTCTGCTGCTGCA